TCAGGGCGTTACGCGGGGCCGCGGTCTCACCGCCCCCAGCCCCGCGGCCCGTCGGTGTGAGGCGGGATGTGCGGTCCCGCTTTTCCCCGGAGTCGGCGAAGCCTGTTCGCTTCAGAGGTATCGCAGCCTCTGGCAGCGGCTGCTCTCAGCAGACGTGGTTCTGCAGGAAAAGGTCCCCTGTGTCGAGAGAGCGCTTTTTATTGTGCGTGTCCTACCGACACGCAGCGCTAGTGAGAGGGACGCGTTTCTTAGGCGAGGGTGCATGCGGGAGGAAAACCCTTGCAAGAGGAGAAGGGCGAAGCTTGTGTGTTAACGGAGCTGACGGGAGGCGTGAAGGTGTTTGCGATAGGTGGGGAAACGGGTGGCTGCCCTTAGACTAGGAATAAGTTTGTTTTTCAAGGAAAAATTAGAAAATAAATGGTTCTCAGAATCTGAATGCTCTCTTGGTTAGGCAAAGCATAACCTAAAATATCGTATAGCAGTTGGGCATAAGAACTAATGGAACAGCTAGCAGTAACTCAGGGAAAATTAGAGGAATTGGTTTTTAATTGTCTGGTAGGAAATGGCTAAGGTGTGACCTGTAATGCCTCTCTTCCTGCCTTTATTTTCTTTCCCCTTAGTCGTTTATGGGGCTTGGTTCTGTTGAATCCAACAGGTAGTGGCTGAGGCTGCATGGCACGCTGGAAAACAAGCCAGATTGCTGGATTTGGTCTTAAATAAGATTGCTTTGTTCAGTATTAGAAATACCCTAGGCAACTCAGACTTCGTAGAGGTATTTAATATAAATACTGGTTCAGTTTAGAAATCCTTATTTTAAGATGGTGCAGCCACGTTTTATTAAGACTCATTATTCACTTGCAAGTTAAAAAATAAAAATCAACTTGCCAAAGACTGGTGTTGTCTGTGGAAAAACTTGAAACTCTGGTGCTTATTTCATTATTTGAATGCATAACAGCTCTGCACTTTGGAAAAGTAGACTGCTTATTTAGATATAGAAAGAATATACATACTATTTTTCCCATGTTACCCTTCCCCTTTCAGTTGAAGTATTTCTGATTCTTATTTTAATTCTTTTTTGCTCCTTACTAGGATTCCAGTTGATGCCCCTTCTACTTGTCTCTTGGTGGAAAACTTGCTTGTCTTTAATGGATACTGCTGCTGGAGGTTGATCTCTGGAGACTTTACAGCTCCTTACCTTTTGAGAGGAGACAGCTTCTTGTCCCCTCTCAAGGTCACAGTGGTAGTTCTTGGTCAGTGACCATCTGTGAGGGAAGAAGATGCCTCTACCTTTTGGGTTAAAATTGAAACGAACTCGACGTTACACGGTGTCCAGCAAGAGTTGCTTGGTGGCTCGTATCCAGCTGCTCAACAATGAATTTGTGGAGTTCACGCTCTCGGTGGAAAGCACGGGCCAGGAAAGCCTGGAAGCAGTGGCTCAGAGGCTTGAACTGCGGGAGGTAAGCAAACTGTCTGGTGAAGAAGGCATGATTTTTGTCTCTGGTGCTAGGATTTGGGGCAGTCGGTTTATTTAGTGGAGCAGCTGTCCCATATTCCCCTTTTTCTTTCACCTTCGGGTCTTGATGGGGACGTGGATCAATCCAAAACAGTTGCAAAACTTGTGTTACAGTGCTAGGGTATGCCCAAGGGGAAGACCTGTGAGCAGTGGCAGTGAATAGAGTCCTAGAGCAATAAACCAAGTGACTTTTTTTTTTTAAACCTGACGATGCTGAAAATGCTGTTAAAAGAAACAACAAAGCAACAACAAAAAACATCTGCCTAAGTAGCATGGTTAAGAATTAGTGCAAGACTTGAGACAACTTTTAGCTAAGGATATGAAAGAGAATGTTTGTTTTGGGGCTGTATTTTTTTCTGATAGTGTTAGTTCTGTGAAAAGAACCTAAAGCATGAAATGTGATAAGTGTACCAGTGACCAACTATTTGTATTACTTGTTCAAATACCACAAACATGTTAGCAGACACTGTCTTGGAGCAAACATGTAGTCATTTAGATCGAGTGCTGGCCTCATGAGGAAACATGGTTTGCACTAGTTGAATTGGTATGATATCTGTGTAACATGCCTTTTACCCCAAAAAACCCTTAGTTGATATTTTGAAGCTTCCTTTTGCAACTGTATTTTACTCTTCTCCCACACGTTTAGGAGTTAATCAAACATCTCCTATATTGAGTGAATTAATTATGAAATGCTGAGCTGTGAAATATTGGGTTTTTTTAGAAATCTACACCAACTTATGAACCAGTGTCATGGTTTTATAATTTTGAACACGGGGATTTGATTGCAACAGCAGAATGCTCTCGATCCTGTGTAAACTGGCATTTCCCGCTGGAGTCTCAAAAAGTTTAGTTAATTTTGTAGTCTAAGCTGTCACAGCATGTTCTCTTTTGTAGGGAAGGAGAGAGAACACTTGTAAAGAGAGTTTATCACTGCTAAAATTGTTTTGAAAAAGATGCATTTGCTCTGTTATGTGGTCTGCCATGTTACTGTGTTTAGACTATAAGATTAAAATACAGGATGAAAACCCTAGACTTAGGCAACCAAAATAAAACTAATTGTGAAAAATAATTGTTATGTAATAACGGTGATTTTTTTTAAGTGTTGTATTTTCATTGTCAAGCAATGGCAACTGCTTATAACTTTGCGTAAATATTGAGCAGATAAATTTAGGACTCAATCATGGAAATCTTTATTACTGTACACGACATGAATTATTGTAGTATTTCTCAGTAGGAAATGCTAGATACAGTTATTTTTTCAGATTATTTTTTTTTTTCTGTTTGGAGAATAATAAATAAATGAAATATATGTGACTCCATTAATCTTCTAACTGTTGAGTGTGGTTGTTTTCAATCCCAATATGCATTCTTGTAGGTTCTCCAAGTATTTTTTTTTTTAGTGTACAGTTATTTTGGAAAAATGCAATTCTGTGCAACATCATGATTTACTTTTTTTTAGCCTTGCTTCCTCTAGAGAAGGGAGAATTTAACTAACTCTTAAGTTTTAGTGTTTAATTAGGACGCATCAAATATCATGTATTTAGAATTCAGTTATTGTAATGTGAATGGAGTTTGTCAGTTTTATCTACCCATTTTCAGATGTCACTGCTAAGTCAACAGAAGGTAAATAATTTTAGCTATATTTGGTTTGCAAAATGGAAGGCTTTGTCTTCCTGCTTGATGTCTGGTGACTTCTATTGAACTAGTCACAGAGCACTTGAGATGGAGGTTTTTTCAGCTATTCTTCATTATCTCCTGGAGTTACTCCTGAAATTCTGTTTTTTGGGTTTTTTGGTGTTTTTTTTAACAAAAGAGAAAGATGGCATTTCCCTCAATTAAGAGTCATAAATCAAACTAAGGGAGTTGACAGAATACTGCTGAACTCTGAGCAGATTCCTTCAGTCATGCATTCTTGCATGGATTATTTTGGCAGGAAAATGTGTTGCAATAAAAGGGAATGGAAAATAGGGGTAAAAATTACTTTCCAGAGCTCGGATTAAAAAATGTTATTCTGCCTTTAAATAGTCAGATTTGCCAAGCAGATACTGGATCATTCCTGGCTGCATGCTTAGTTGAAAGGTTTCAGAAAGAAAAATTTGCTCAGCACTTTGCTTGAATCTACAAAAAACATTAGTCCTTGATACTGTAAAATAGTAAGTACTTACTATAAGATATTGTATATTGTGAATGCTCTTAGCACCCTTAAAACACAAGTGTGAATTAAAAATGTTAAACACGAAAATATGACTGTTTATTTGAATACTGACATGTAATGCAGTTAGGAAAACCGAGGCATCAGTTTTGGATTACTTTATATGGGCTGCACAGCTGTGACATGTGGGTTCCTGTGCACCTTCCAAACAGTTTATTAAAGCGGGGGGTATGAAGGGAATCTCTTTTTACACTTTGAATGGTAACATTTCTAAGTACCTCTTTCTCTCTGGTGTAGCCTGCAATTACTGAATTTGAATAGTGAATTAAAGAGCTTACTTTTAATGTTACGCTGTATTCTAAGGTATTTGTTTTAACAGACCTTTTTCTAAATTAGTAGTCATCAAATTATGCTTTGTGTGGCTAAACACTGGTTTTCTTTTGATTTTCCAATTAGTTCTTCTTAATTTCCAAGTTGTATACTAGTATGGACACATAGGGTTTAGGAAGTCTTAAGTATGTTGACAATTGTATTTTCTTACTGAATGGTAAACTTTGCAGAAAAGTGAAATGAATGCATTAAACTAAGAACAACATCTCTGGTATTCCCAAAATGTGAGTCATCAGCACTGGGTGTGTAATCCAGTCTTCTTAAGCTGAGGAACTGGAGGAAGAAACCAAGGGAACAGGGAACATAAGTTACTTACCCTTTGTAGTGCAGCCTGTCTTTTATCCTGTGAGAGAACTATAACCTAATTTGATTTATGCCAAGAGCTGTATTTGTTGCAGAAAATGGTTCTGGAATTGAAAGTTTTTTAAAACTGCTGAGAGCTCTGATTTAACACTGTTATCTTGTATGTAGGGCATGAGTATACAAATTAAATACTTGAAAATATAGAAATGTTTTTAAAATGTTAATCCAACTAGATATCTATAGGGTGTTTGGCAGGAGATTTATGTATCTTGTTGGATCTTCTTTTATTTCTGTTTCCTAATAACAATTCTAAACCAGAACAAAAGGATCAATTCTGCTACTGTGTATACGCAGAGTCTGACTTAACTGTAGATGTATGGTAGAGATTTGGGCCCAAGTACAAGAACTAATGGTAGGCAACCTCTGTGGAGAATACGTTTTGTGTGTATGCCCATACATGTTGTGTGTGTTCCTGTGCTTGTTTTGGACATGAGTAGAAAGAAGGAATCAAGGTTATTTGGATCCTGAATAATTTTCAAAGTTCTGAAACAGTGGTTCGGAAATGATTGAATTATGCTGCAAAACATTGCTCTGAATTCTGAAACACTGGCTCTTGTTTGAAGAAAACACAAAAAAATAGCTTTAGTACAATGTAGTGGTTTCTTAAATGTGTTTTGCATACAGAAAGAATGCTTTTAAAACAAGACCAAGTGCAACTGTAAATACTCCGTCATGTATATGTGTCAGTAAACATGCTGACTGGCAAATGAAAGTTATGTCAAGTAATGACAGAGGTGTCACTAACATAATTATGTTTATGTCTTGTATCAAAGTCTGTCAAAATTTTAGATAATGCTTGGAGAAAAAAAGAGGAGAAACTGCTCATAGTTGAACTGCAATGGTTGCCTCTCTGGACCAAGTTTTCCTTAAAATTAGGAAAGGATAATTTATCATGGAGGAATGTACATACAAATGCATACCTTGAGTGTGTAATCTAATTTAAAGTATACTACTTTATTGAAAAACAAACGACTCCATCTAAAACATACATTCATTTTAAGTGTGCTGTAATTGTAATTTAGGAACCAAGATAAATTGAAGGACAGAGCAGTCAGACGAAAATCAGTAATTGTCACTGTGCCGTTACTGTAATTCTTCCCTTTTCTGAAACAACACATTCATGTGTAGGATTTGCACTGTCTTATTACACTGAGCAGCACAAATTAAGGTTTTTCCATGAAAGCAATAGTGGCAATTAGGAAGCCTTGCCCCTGATTTCTTTAGCTTTTTTATAAACTTAAGTCAGAATTTGAGTATTCCACATACTTGTATTTTTTTCACTGTCACAATGTCTGTGAATTGCTGTACAGGCTTATATTAATTTTGACAGAAGAGTTTTTCTTTACTTCGGAAGCAAATACATTGATTTATTTTAATTTTATACTACTTTGAAATTTTGCTTTTCCCTGTTGCAAAGCAATCTGAATTTAAGCCTCTGATGAGTGGGAACATGAGACTCCTTGTAAATGTCAGTGCTGTGTAAGGTGTGAGTCAAAAAGCAGATATGTGGGTGCATCCTTCTCAGACCCTTGGACAGTGGTGGGAAAAAGTAACACAATTTAAAATAAAAAGTATGCTTCTACATTTGTTGGTCATGTTGATAGCTGACCTCTTTCTGCAAGAGGTTAAGATCTGTCTTTGATATAATGCCTTCTGTGCAGCATGAAGGTGTTGTTCTCAGGTTGTAAATTACCCAGTTTGCATTTGTCTAACGTACTGATGAGTCAAATCTGCCTTGCCTGTCAGAAGGTTGTTTATTCAAGATATTTCAAGGGCATAAAACACAATATATTGTGATTTGTGGAATGTTTTAATTGGAATAAATTAAAGTATGTCAGATTACTTTGCAAAGTATTGATTTTTTTTGTTTATTTCTTATCCTTGCTGCTTTGCTTTAAGCTATAGTTGACAATTGCTTTATTTAAGTACCATTTTTTAAACGCATATTGGAGTAGTTAGAGAAGATAATTGGGGGTGGAGTGGTATTGGAAAAAAGCTTTCCATCCTAAAAGAACTAAAAATTAAGACTGACTTCTCTGTGTATTTGTATAGCTACCCTGTTAAGTGCTCCTTCCTGCAGCTACAGTTGGAGATCTTGTCAGTACTAGAATAACAAAGATAGTATAAGCAAAAGTGCCCTAAAATGAGTAGCTTCAAGGTGAGGAAAAGTGAGGGATTTTTATGAGGCCAGCCAGCAGTCCTCCTTTCCCTGCAAGAATTTGTTGTGGTAGTATATAGAGAAGTGCAGCTTTCCACTCACTGGCTGGTACGTGGCGAGACTCACAAGTTTTAGTCTCCACCACTTCCAGGAAATCTTGGGTCTTGCACACTGGCTGGTCTGGGCTTCTCCAAATCCTTTCTGTCTTAGAGATGGAGAAGATTCGTGGAGGAGGTTGTCTGCTGTGATAAGACTGGAGTTTCTGGATAATTTTCAGGGCCTCTTGTCTCCTTCTGTAGTTCCATAGGCTACAGCTTTCACTTGGTATCTGGCGGTTGTGCATAGTACAAGATTATTGACCCAGTTCTCCTGCATGCAGTTTATTTAAGCCGTGGTATCCTGATGGCAGGAGCTGTTTTGCATCCAAGCATATAATAAAGCTAGACGCAGTGGAGCCCTTGGGCTAACTGGAATTTTTAAAGTCTGACAGCAGTGCTTATCCTTCAATAATGAGAAGGAGTTTTCAGCACTCTGTTCAGGAAAGACTAATGACATGTTTTATTTGTTTATACCACTGTAAAAGAGGAAAAGCCTGAAAGTATATGTTGATTGCATTCTTCTGTAAACCCTGCTATTGCTTGTTGGGTGTTTTTTTCAATTTCTTACCTCACATTTTAGGATAGTGATTCCTCAGGTCACTGCACCCTTGATGCAGGTAGTGGATTGCATTAATTAGAAGGTACTGTCTTGACAATTAAAAAACAATTTTTTTCTCCAGTCTGTTTGTAACCTGTGAGATATTCTGTAAGATTTGTAATGTAGGATATAGAAATTAGCTGGGAAATATATAATTAAATACATAAGTTAAAATTAAAGTTTGGACACTGCTATGCCTCGGGAATGTGTGGTAAAGTCTTACTTGTCCTCCCTGCTACCATCCACAAGAAGTGGCTGCTTTATTTTCCTTCAGTTTGAGGTTTTATAGGGAGTGATTTTTAAATATTTTTTTAAAGGATGGCAGTGATAGTGTTGTCTCAAAATCTTGAGGAACATTATATTATATTGCCAAAAAATGAAAGGCATAGAGTTTGAGGATTGTAATAGGTGCTGTTAAGCTCAAGTGAGATTACATAAATTTGATACCTTTCATATATATTTGTCTTTTTATTTCTTTTCTAGAGAGTGTAAGCTATGACCAAAATAGACCCTGAGATTCTATATTAAAACTTTCGTAAGACAGCTAATCACCATAACTGATACATATAAATGATGTTTAGATTAGAGCCAAAATGGAATTATATTAGGGATGAGACTACTCCATATTAAGGAAAATAAAATGAAGTGCAGCAGTTAGTTGTAACTAACAAATACCAGGCAGCTGGTACAAGAAAGAAGGTCCATCTTATTATTTCAACTTCAAATTTTAAAAGATATGATAAGCAGCAAAGTATGCTACATAGATGTGAAAACTGATGAGAATTTAAAGATTTAAAGCTCAGTTTTTAGTGGGTTTGTGAATGATAACTTTTTAAAAGTGTTATTTCATTTACATCCAAGAATTTCTCAGTAAGCTCTTCCTCTTTTTTGACCAATTGTATGACCTAGAATCACATAATAGTTTGAGTTGGAAGGCACCTCTGAGGATTGCATGATCCCACCCTCTGCTCAGGAATGCAGCCTGGATCAGGTGGCTGTGGAATTGCCTGGGTGAGGTTGAGTGCCTCCAAGGACAGAGATTTGACACCTTTTGGGGCTACCTGTACCAGTATTTGGCTAGTCTTGTTCTGATTTTTTTTCCAATCTTGAGCACTGCCAAGAAGAGTCTGGCTCTGTCTTCTCTGTATCCTGCTCTTAGGCAATTGAAGCCCACACAAAGATTTTACTGAGTTTCTTCTTGAGGCTCATCAGCCACACTTCTCTGACTCTAATACAACATGCCAAACTGACAGAAATGTGGCTTTGTAGCACTCATACCTGATGAAGCTCCTCTCCTTACTTTAGGAAATCTGTTTGACTTCATGGAAGTCACTCCACTTCCACCAACCTGTGTGAGCTGTGATACTGTGTGAGCTTATGGTACTTCTGTGTTCTTGATTAATCTTGAGCTTTTATGCAAAAATGCATACTATTCTTGTCCATAGTGTCAGAAAGCAGCTAAGTAGAAATTAGCTGTGCAGAAATTATATGTTCTTTTTATTTCTATGTGTTTTTCTTCAAAGGGGTTGGGTCATGAATAAGTGACTAAAATAAGTGAACCTCAAAGCAGTGTTAATCTTAACAGCTTAACATATTTTAAGAATTATGTCATGACATTCCTTTTAGAATTGGGTGTTGTCCTGAGCTGCTAAGAATAAAATGTTTTAGCAATGGATAAAAACTGATTCTATTTTAATCAGTGCGAATATTCCAGGGTGCATAAGCTCATCTGAAAACTCATAGGATCAAATTCTGCCCTTGAAGTCAAGTGAAAGGTTTGCATACAAGTCAGAAGACAGGCTTTGGTCTGTAGTGTTTTACTTGGCTTTGATTTTATTTTTGATAGTTCAGATTGGAGGAGTTTGTAAGGGAAAATACCGTGGCAGAAAAATCTTGTTTAAAGATATGTTGGATTCCAGAGATTATTTTAAAACACAGAAACATTTTTCTTAGTCTGTTACTTAGTGATTACTGTTGTGCCAGTAACTACTCAGTTCTGTTTGTACGCAAGAAGTTGTCAGTGTTTTGAAGAAACAGACCAGAGCAAGTGATCTTCAAAAGTATGGCCTTCAAGTATGGCCTTCAAAATAGACCATGCATTCGATTTCAACTTCAGGGTGTAGAACTAGGAGTATTTTACATGAGAGAGTTAGATACAGGGATGTTGTTAACAGAAGTTTGTGCTCTCTCTCCTTACCTTTCTGCTGCTCATCTGTGCTTCTTTGGGGCTTAAATACACCAAGAGTGGAGGTGAAAGTTGGGCAGTTGCTTAGAAGTTTTTGCACGCATTTTGAATTGGTTTCCAAAACTTTTTGTGTGGTACTTTTTACCATACAACTTTGGTATTTCAACTTTGTTGGTGTCCTTCTGTGGTTCTGTAGCTGTTACCCTTAGGTTTCAGCCTCCACATTGGCCTCTGCTCTCAGCCAGGAGGTTGTGTTTCAACATTTCAGATGGTTCTCAGCCCAGGGCTGATGCAGTTGACCTGTTGGGCAGGGCGGCTGGGCCAGGGCATTAGACCTTCTTTTCTGCGTTCTTCCTAGCAAGTGAGATCAGGTAGCTCATCGCAAGTAGTTCAGCTTTAACAGTTACTTTTATATTTTTGTTTTCTAGTTTACTTACTGTCTTGCATTATATATACATTATGTTTATAACTCTTGAAGGTAGAGGATGTCAGCATCACAGGCTCCTGTGACTATCCTCATAGTGTTAACAGTCTTGTAATGAAAGAGAAATGCAACTTTTTACATTGATTTCTTTCCTCATTCAGTCTGCAGGAAGAAGTGAGGAGTTGTCATTCAGTAGATTTGTCTTTTTCAGTATGTGATGTTGCAGTGAAAATAGTATTTCTTTCATAACAGAATTTGTGTGGGACTACGTTATATTTTATGGACTTGTAAGATACTGTCTTCTCAATAACGTTGTGGGATGGTGGAAGCTACCATGCACTTATTTTATGGTTGGGGGACTGGCACACAGAAATAAAAGGAAATGTTGTTTAAGGTATACTGATATGTACAGACTGCATTGACTTCACTCCTGTCTTTGAAGTTTGGGATGTAGCATACCTGCCCCTGCTGTGGTTTTTGCATGCATAGTCAGAATCCCATTAAGGTAGACTCTTCATTCTGTTTAAACTATAAACTATCAAGATTTATATATATTAATTTACAAATGTGTATATAGGCAGCTTTTCACAGGAAAGTACTAAAGTGGCCTTTCTCTACTGCCAGCTGTCACTTCTCAATGAATTTTGAATCTGTGCTCCAAAGAATCAAAATGCCAGAGCTCCTGAGGAAAAAAAAAAAAAAAGTTTGTTGTTTGCTCATGCAGACAGATTTTCCAAGTCTAATTCACAGAAATTATTGATGTAAAAAATCATTATGATGAACAGTTGTTTGTTTTATGAAATGTCATCCCTAATACCTTAGTTTTATGTAAGTTAAAAACATCTGAAAATGTATAAAGTAGCATGTTGGTTTAGAGGTGTTGGTAATTCTACCATTTCTACATCTCATGATGTGTATGTGGCAAGAACCTGGAGGATTTCTCTGTAAATGCCTGCAGACATAATTTATAATGCTAATTCATAGCATTCCGTTATCTCTTTCC